AACTAATTGCGCATTCTTTCCCAGTGAATTTCATATACCTTGAAAAAGTTTGGTGGAGGGCGAAAAAAAAAACTCTTGACTATTGGAGACGGCTCCTAATCGAAACTTTTTTTTGGTCCCCCCAAAAATTTTTTCGGCCCCAAAATCTCAAGGGATATGAAATTCACAGAAAGAAGTTTAGAAAACAAAAGTCTTTGTCTTTTCAGACATTGACGGAGCAAGGTGCTTGGAACAGAAATAGTTCAAATGAGAATACGTTGCTGCTTTAAGGATGCATGATGAGCTTTGTGGGTTTAGGAAGTTAACTGCTGACCAAGAAGCCCCAAGTTCAAGCTTTGCCTATCATCTTGCGCGGGATGATAATGCCTTGTCAAGTCAGGTTACTGCCGTCTGTTCAAGCGTGTATTAGAATTGAAGCACGATAAAATGGGTTGTGTATTTCAATAAGCACAATAGCGACGCCTCGTCTGTTACAATAATGCAAGTGCCAGCAAAGCGTCCATCACCTTCTGCAGCCCCACTGCATCCACGCTACCAGTCCTCGACCGGCTCAGGGCTTTGTGAAAACTGTGAACTGTTTAAAACGTCGCTGAACGTTTCGCACTGCTCAAACAGCCCGGACGACTCCCAACCCTCTCAGACCTCAGGCTGGTTGGCACTTGGAAACGGCACTGCAAACCAGTCGACAAATTGTCGTTCCACCATCGCAAGCACTCGACGCGACCCTTGCGAACGGCGGGTGGATGCAACCTGCTTGATTGTACTTAAGCTCAGTCCTCGACCCTGTTCTTCAACGCCACGTTCTCGCTCCTCAGCGCCTCCACTTTAGAATCGTGCGCGCCGTTGCGGCGATCAGTCGTCCCAAGCCGCCCCTGGCACTCGGCCAGCCGCTCTTCCTGCTCCGCGGCTGGCATAGGACATTGGGGGTTGAAGGCGGGAGCGCGGGGGGTAAAGGAGATAAGCCGCCTCGACTCTTAATCGTGACTAAAATCCAACCCCCCGACCTCTGGTTTCGGTCCTCCTCGCCTCGTCCGCGAGCATATCGTCCAGCGACGGAGGCAACGTTGGCCCGTCAGCGGCGGGCGGTGCCCAGAGGCTGCCTGTCGACGTTCACGCCGCGGGTCTCGGCGCCGAGGGGCTGCGGCTGCTGGTGCTTCTGCTGCTGCCGGCAGTGGTGGTGATGGAGTTGCGCCGTTGGGGAGTTGGTGGATCGGAGGGGTAAGGAGGAGGAGGGTTGGTGTGTGGAGTCGGAGGCGGCGGCGGTGGCGGAGGAGTGGGGAGGAGGCGGGTGCGGGTCGTTGCCGTCGTTGGGGTCATGGTCGGCGGCATTGTCCTTAACCGGGGACGAGGCGCGGCTACCTTTATCACTGAGGTCACCGTCGTCGTGATCGTCGTTGTCGTCGTCGTCTCCGATATCTGGCGCGGCGCAGTTGGCCGCCGACGGCTGTGGCGGCTGATTTGCGACGCTGCGCGGTGGCTGGTGCAGTGGACGCTGGGGCAGCTGCCGCGGCAAGGGCGGGGTTGGGGTGGTTTCTGCAGGGCGATCCTGCTGTGTGGACATGAAAGGCTTGCACGGTGCCTGAGGCTGTCGCTGCGCGCCCCTGACGACGCTGATGGTGTTCGAGCAGCGAATAACGATGCTGCTGCCGCTCTTGCTCCGGTTTCCTCCAATCAGACGTTTCCAGATCCAGATCGGCAATCCACATCACATCTTGGGGCAAGGGGAGTAAGAAGAGATGACGAACCTGGCGGTAGCCGTGACGATTCCAGTGCCCTCGGCGATACGGTACTTCGTTAGTGGGATTGCGACTGCCAGTTTTCCGCGGGTGGCACGGAAGATAAATAACGAAAAAAGAAGGAAAAAACACAAGAATGGGAGAGCCAATGTCGGAATTTCCTGGGTTCGAATCCCACTCTGCTCACCACAGTGTCACATCTCTGGCACCTCTGAGCTGAAGATTGTCTGTCAGTTGCAGGTTTCAGGTTCAGGTTGCAGATCCTGACTCTTAGCAACAGTACTGTGCAGCAGAGGGGTGACAACGGTACATACATACAAACGACAAAATCCAATGATGTTGGACACTCATAGACAAGCAAAGCAGATGTATGACAGCAAACTGCCCCTGACAACATTGAACTGGACTTTTGATCAATTTGAAAGATACTTTATGTCAAATTGAAAAGGATTTTTTTTTTTTTTTTTTTTTTTGCTTTTTCTTTGCGTTGTTGGGGGGCTTGCTGCAAATTTAATCCCCTGTTGCCAATCTCTGAGGGCAAAGTCCAAATTCAGGTTTTGTTCAAGTTGAGATCAAGTTCATTTCAAGTTCATGTCATTTCTCTCTAATAATGAAAAATGCAAAATGCTCTCAGCTGATTGGTGTTGTTGTTCTGTGTGTAGTTAATCCAGAGATTGTGTGTTACAGTCTGGTGGAAGTTGGTGCACCTGAGGCAAATCTGTGAAGGACATTGAAAATGTAATGCACAACTATATAAATCATTGATAATTGCGACTAGCGAGGGTGGGGGTGGAGTGTGTGTCTGTGACAGTGGGGGTGGCAATGGTGACAGAGGAGACGGATGGAATCAAAGGCAAATTTTTATCGATTATCATGTATGAAGGGGCATATTCCAACAAGGACTATGCTTGGGTTTGTGGTCCAGTGGTATGATTCCAGAGGAGACAGATGGAATCAAAGACAAATTTTCTTCTTCTTTCTTATTGATTATGACGTGTGTCGTGCATATTCCAACAAAGATCATGAGTGGGTTTGTGGTCTAGTGGTATGATTCCTCCTTCGGGTGGAGGAGGTCCTGGGTTCAATCCCCAGCAAGCCCCGTTACTTCTTCTTGAGGTGCAGGAGGAAAGGGGAGGAACCCAGTCAGGTCAAGGGGGAGCCTACTTCACCCAGTTAATAAGAAGAGTGCCTCTGCTGCAAGATTACTGCAATGGAACAAAGCGCAGAGCAGCAAGCCACAGTTATTACCTTTCCACTGGATGGTTCTTCCTTCACGCTTGCTTGTTTTCACTCAAGTGAGTGGGATGGTGGTTTCAGGGAAGTTGTCAGAGGGGACTTGCGGAGTGCGTTTGTCTCAGCTTATTCCAACAAAGTTACATGGTCAAAGCTAATAAATGTGCCAAATCAAGCCTTTGTTCTGGTGCTTAGGGCATGACTGCACTTGTACTGGGTCTCAGGACTTTTGCTAATGCGGAAAGACAGACAAACTGATTGTCCTTGAAGGCAGGCTCACACCAGACCAGAACTAACCAGTTGTAGAAGTCAGAATGCCACTGTCACTTTGATCTGAGGAATTGAGCTAGCATAAAATGCAAACTGTAAGATAAGTCACACCCCCCCCCCCCCACATACATCCATGCGTCCTTGGAGTGCTCTGTACAGGGATCGAACCTGTGACTTTAGCGTCCCTCAAGCCCACAAGAGGGCTTATTAGCACTACACTCTAACCAACTGAGTTAACAGAGCCTCTGCCTGATACAAGCTCGCTGCCTTAATCAGACAGAAGGAAAAAAGTCAGAGGTTGGCTTCACCAATTTGCCTTTTTCCCTTAATTAGTAATTTCGTACATGCTAGATAAGGAAAACTCTGTCACCCAGTGTGCAGTTGGAATATGGTCAGGATTCAGTTTTGAAAATGCTCATTCTGTGAAGGAGGATCTCTATGGTTGAGTCTTTTGTGCAGTAAACACAAGGAGAGAGGGTTGATCCTGCTTGGTTGACCATATAAACTTCTTAGTTTGCAGTGACAGTTCCGTTATGGTTAAGCCACCTCCACTGCAGCGGTTAGGTTAAACTACAACAGAGGATGGCTGAGATAATGGGAGGATTGAGCAGAGTGGGATTCGAACCCACGCCTCCGGAGAGACCAGAGCCTTAATCTGGCGCCTTAGACCAACTCGGCCATCTGCCCCCCAACAAGGCTTTAATATGTTGCTTCCTTGTGTAAAATGGTGCAGGGCTGGGAGATGGGTTGGGGTGGTAACTACTGCAAAGACCTGCCTCCAGAACAAACAGAGGCTATGCTTTCCACATGTACACATTGACCTTCTGCCTGCTCCATATGGTGGATGCACACACCACACACAGGCAAGGCCTTTTATTTTTTATTTTTATTTTTAAATAATTGCTGGCCGTCAGAGAGGTTTTGCAAAATTTCCTGTTGCATCACCAAACTGAGCATTACCACCAACAATGGCTGTCATCTGTATCTGTAAAGTTGTTTTGGGCGCTACCGTAATTTTCTTTTTTTTTTCCTTTCCAGCACAAACAAATTTTTTCTTTTCCTATTTATCCGCCATTCTGGTGCTCTTCTTGGATGGCAGCCCCAAGCCCTTACAAAAATAGTTTTATATGCACAAGCTGTTTGACTGATTGTTTCTCCAGCATTAAGGCTATTGAGTTAGGGCAATTTTTGGAAAGATATTGTCGAGTGTTGATATTACAGCTCTAGCCCAAAAACTTTGGTTTATTAAGTTGGTTAGCACGTTTCCTCAAAGCTCTTTTGGTGTGCAAATAGCCTTCAACTAATCTGAAAACAGAGCGAGGCATTACAAAAACAAGAAAGAAAAAGAGCTGCAAGAGAGTGAAATCTGCTCAAGAGTCAAAACAATGAGAAATCAGAAACAACGTGCACTTCATTTTGTGGTGAAAGCAAGATGACACTACTGCTGTGAGAGGTATCCAAGTTGCACAAAAATAAACAGTGGAGTAAATGGTGGGAAAGCTGTGGTCCTACTGGGTGAAGCAATCAAATCCAGCAGTGAGCCTGAAAGCTTTGGGTGACCAAGTGAAAATGAAAGGAAAGTCATGACTGTAGACTGACAGCCAAATACCCACATGCAAGCTTCTCTTTTTGTTTCAGCAGGTGTGCTGTCTCTTGTCCAGTCCACCAACAGTTGATTTTTACTTGTTTTTCAGGTGGTAGCCCAGAGCTTTCAAGCTGGCACTGTAAAGCATTTCAAAGAGGGATCAGGAGGTCCTAAAGCGCTACCGGGTGGACTTGAACCACCAACCTTGCGGTTTGCTATGTCTAGTACATGTCTAACAGCCGCACGCGCTAACCAGTTGCGCCACGGCAGCCTGTGCTCACAGTATCGTGCTTGTGACAGTAGACAACATTTTTACACTTTCACCACGTCTCTCCTTTTGTCTGTCTTCAATCTCACACTCTCTCTCTCTCTTCTCATGCACTCTGTCCCCCTCATGCACACACACACACTGGGGAACTTGGTCCTAGGTGTGTGATCATTTTATTCTTGCTCAGAGCCAGCAAGCAGTCAAAGTACAGCAAAATGCTAGCATGGCCTGTGGCTCTCACTTTCACACCTTTTGGGCGTCAACCTGCTGTACATTGAAATGCTTCCCCTGGGAGTACAGGCGCCAGGAGAGAGGAGGACCCAGCCGGGGTTGATCCGGCGACCTGTCGATCTGCAGTCGACCGCTCTACCACTGAGCTATAAGTCCCTGTGCTGTGCCACACAATACAAGAATTGTTGTCACCTCCTTACTGTTGGTTTTTTTTTTATTTTTTTCTTTTATTTTTAGGGAAATGGAGCTTTGCTTGCTGGTGATGTTTGAGTTACCCCTCTTTGCAAGCTCCTCCTCAGGCCTCATGTGTTGTGTGTCAAATTCTCCATTGCTAGTGTGTTCCCACCAATTGGGCAGGATTAGGATGAGACAGCAGCGCTACACAGGACCAGTTCATTCAGTCCCACACACAGCAGTTGTGCTATTGCTCATTTTCATCTGCTTCCCCACCACCACAAATCAGAAATTACAGAGAGAGAAAGAGAGAGACAAAGGGAAGAAGGGAGAGAGAAAGGAATGAAAGTGGGTGGCTCACCCATCCTTCATCTCTCCCACTTTAGAGAGGTGATAAGGCTTAACACTGCTCAAATCAAATCCAAACAAGGTCCGATTTGGGTCTGATTCAAAAAATTGAATCAAATCAAATCAGATGGTTTTTTTGCTGAATAAGCTGTTTCTCTTTGATTCAAAATTCTTCTCTGGTAATTTCTGTTCCATTTGGCGCAATTTGGCCAATCAAATGTCAGGTGTATTGCAAATATTCGTGATTTGTGGTTAAAAACTTACAAGCGCTGTACTGAAAACCTCTTGTTTTCTCACCACCACAAATGCACTTTGTTTTCAATACAAAAGAAGAAAACATAAAAAATTATATTTTTTCTTTATTGATTTGCAAATGACATTGAGAAAAGGTGTGAAACGAGTGAGAAAAAAAAAAGTTTTTCTGCATCTAGCTGGAAAATAAATTGAGTCAAATTGCGGATCTAGCCAGAGTTAAACCCTACAGAGCAACTGCTCACCTATTCCTAAACCAAAACATTTGGGAACAGGAGAATGAATGAAAAAAGCCATAATCAGGGTCATGTGAGCTTGCCCCTCCAGGAGCAAAGCCTCGCGCTTGGAGGGAGAATTCTCACCTCTGACTCCAAAGTACCTGAAACGGCAACCACCGTATTCTGCCCACAGTGCACCCCTGCATGCGTTGTCCTCTAATTTGATGCCAAGCATGCCAGCAACTTGTGGTGCAAGGCGATGAATTGCTAATGTTGTTGGACACTTGGCTTTCTGCTTGTGATGCAGCAATTCCCCTCTGGCAGAGCAGCAGAGGGTTACCACTAACCCCTTCCCACGTTTGATGATAATGTTGCTGAGCAGGAAAGGCTAGGCTAGGGTGGTGGCAAAAGAGCAATGTTCTGTCATTGAGCATTGCAATGAAGTGAAGGTGACACATGAATTAATCAGTGAAATCCTCGAACCAATTGTTGAACCACCCCACTCCCAATTAAAGGAGGACGAAGGCTGTGCCCCCCAGACTCAGAGCAGACTTCCATGAAAAACTGCCCAGCAACTGCAAATGCTTTGGCCCAAAAATGCCCTTTGTGATGTGGAGAATGCGGAGAAGTGCATTATCCTGCATAATTTTGGGGCAGATTCTTCAAAAATTAGGTCTCTGCAACCCACAAATACAGATGTGTGTGGCCCTCTGCCACCGCAGACTTGCCATCCTGCAGAGTGGAGAGTGCAGATGTTGACCAACAGCATTGGCGGTGTGCAGCCTTACTGAGGACACAATCTTGTTTTTGCACCCATTGTTCCTTGTCAACACCTGGGTTAAGGTGACAGACTCAAAATCTGTTACTCTCTGGGTGCACAGGTTTGAGTCCTGCCTTTTTCGACAAAGCAGGAGCAGGACTGAAGGGTACGTTAAGCTTGTTTGGCTGTTTGCACTTTTGGTTTAAATTGTTCCACCCTGAGTGTTTCTGCTGTGTTAACAGTCTACTCTGTGTGAGGGAAGTAGAAGGAGTGAATGAAGTGGAGATGTGTATTTGTGGGTGGTCCTTCTCCCCAACTTGGAGAGAAAGAGAAAAACTCTATCATGAACAATTGATGCATGTTGATGATATGCAAGCTCTAATAGTTGCTAGGCGAGCATGACAGGCGCATGGTAAAAACTTCTCCTATATTGTCTGCTTGGGCAGAGGAGGAGGAAAACTGTTTACACTGGATTTCCCAGTTCCACCATGTATTCGGAGTATTTGTAAACAGCACAAGCCAGCGCCCAGGTCTGCATTGGCAGGTGACTCACACTCCCCAGCCATCATGTAGAACAATAAAAGACAGTCACAATAGGTTCTGGTCTGTCTTGTGCCTCTTTTTGCTAAGCAGTCAGTTCCGTCTTAATATGCTGAAAATGCAGCAGAGCCTGAGAGCGCAACATTTTCCTTCAAGGTGTATGCAATTCACTTAACTTCTGTGAAAGCAGTGTGGAAGTCTCACAGGACAACCTACACCTGCTGGACAATTGGTGTGCAACCCCACCAGCAAGACTGTGTGCAACAATAGGGCCTAGCTGGTGGCAAAGGGATGAGAAAGATCAGGTGGATGGATTGTGCAGCTTTGACCAAATGTGGTGGACAGCAGCTGCTGTATGGCTGCTTGCAAACAACCAACTGACAAGGATGCTCTCTGTGCTCAAAATACAATAAAGCAAAACCCCACCAAAAACAAGAAACACAAAAGTGAAGACATGCAAAACACGTGGGGAAACACCCAATTTCTCAAAAGGGTGCAACAAAGAAAGCGCCTGGAATGCATTGTTGGGGCTTGGGAGGGACATAGTGTGATAAGTCCTGCACAAACAAATCGAGCCAGGCCACGCAAATTGAGAGTTTGGATGTGATTCAGAATTGGGATCAAATCTAATCAAGCCATTTTGATATGAGATGTGTTTGTTGTTTGTGTTCAGTCACACCACAGCAGCCAAGTCAATCACATTGGATGATATTCAAATCTTAACTTAATTGATACACTGCAGAAGCCATGCAAAATCAGCCATTGGGGTATGACTTGTGCTGCAGTCACTTTTGTCCTGCCTGAGCTGCAGTTTCAAGTCTGCAACTCCAAGCAGTCCAATCTGATCTGACCCAATCCTAACTGAAAAAACAAAATCAAATGATTGTACTGAGATTGAGTAGTGCCATGTCCTGTGATTGAACCTAAGACTGTCTTCCACATCCATTTCGATGTTCAAGAACAACAGCTTAAGAAAAAGAAAAAAAAAATTTAATAAAAAAATTTTTCTTTCCAGGCTGTGAACAAAGTAAAACAATTCTACACCGTGCCTTCTTGGCTCAGTTGGCAGAGCGTCTCCCTAGTAGCACAGCATTCCTAAGTGGAAGGAGAAGGTCACCAGTTCAATTCTGGTAGAAGGCATTGATGAGCTTAAAATTCCTGCTCCTTTTGAACACGCTGTGCTGGTCCACAATGTTCATCAACAACCCCAAACACTCACTCCTAATCTCTGAGCAGCAAGCACCATTAGGCTGCTTGGTGCACGAACTTCTCCTTTGGTGCCAACGTGCCTGTCAGTTCCAACAGAGGCACAAAAAATAGGGAAAAAATGGAAAAAATGGGGAAGAAAAAATAAAAATAAAATAAAATAAAATAAAATCAAGGTGTTGTGCACCACTTGAAGATTGCTATTGAAACTGGTGGGAAAGAATGGGGAATCCCTGGATCACACAAAGGAAAATCTACCAGAGATCTGAAGGAATAGGTACGGGCAGTCCACCATCAATTACCATCAATTACCATCAATTACCATCAATTACCATCAATTACCATCAATTACCATGTAAAACAACCTCAGTGCCACCACAACTAAAAGGGCCTAGCCTTGTGTGCTGCTGAAACTTCTTCATGCACACAGAGGAGAAGCACTCGATCTGACACCCCAAAAGGGCCCAAGAACGTGGAGAATCGGGGTATCGATCCCTGTGCCTCTCGCATGCTAAGCGAGCGCTCTACCATTTGAGCTAATTCCCCCAGGACCAATGGTGACATGCAATTATTCTACATCCACGCACAAAATTTGAGTACAATTGAATCACAAGGATGATGGAATTGCAATATTTTAACAAAGGTTGCAGTACAGGTCATAAACTCTGAAACTCTGCCAAAACCCTGCAAGGAATAGGTGCTGGTGCGAGGCTCACAACTGTTGTGCATGTTGGGTTATACTGCATGCACCAGCCAAGTTTAGGAGGATGGCTCCAAAATGAACAGACTTGCCAATGCGGTAGCACATTCGCAATCAATACAAGAGGATCAAGTATTATGAATTTTGCCTGAAAAAATAGAGAGACATTGCAGAACCCCCAAAAGTTCTGTCAAGATGTGCCACATGTGGCTCAGGATTGGATAAAGTATTTTCCGTTCTATATCACAAGCTTCGATGTTCGCAAAAAATATGTCCTCCCTGCAGCAAATCCAAAAGATTAATGGATTGTGATGTGCTGCAATCAGGCTATTTGCCCACCAATTTTGATGGCGAATGGTTGAGAATTGATGAAGTTATTGCGTGTAAAAGAATTTGAGCGGTGGCTGAAAAACACTTGTCACTCAGCTGTACCAACACGATTCCTGAATCCAGTCTGTCATATATCACAGTACCAACACTTTGACATATCATAACAAGACACAAGTCAAACATATTGAACCCAATGAAGCCACTCTTATAATCAATGTCTTGAAAATCAGTTTGCCTCAGCCCA